ACTTTCGTACTAAACAAAAAGTTACCAAATTGTTTTTTTTTTGAATTTCTAAGTATTAAACCAAAAACTTTTTTCGTAACAAAGACCCAAAAGTGAGTAAATCAAATCACAATTAAGCTTATTTTTGGCTGTTTTTCTCGATTTATCTTGTTTTTGAGCAAAATTTTGCTAAAAAAATAACAAAAAACCGCCAAATTGAGTCGGTAATAATTTTAGTTTTACTCTTTTCAAATGTTGAGTGTTTTTTTTTTAAGCAGAATTCGTGCTTAAACAAGCCAAAAACGTTTTTTTGACAGAAAGATAGATTCTAGTCTGTCGTAATGACGCTTTTCCCACAGATTTCGTTAAAAATTGTCAAAAACACCAATAAAATTTACAAAACAACAAAAACGGACAAACTATTGTCAAAAACATCAAAAATGACGACTATATATTTGAAAAAAAACGCAATTAATATTTATTGAGTCAAAAATAGTGAAATTATGTTAAAAACTTAACGGTTTAATGTCTAAAAAGCTTGTAAGTTGCAAATTTCATTCATTTTCTCTGTCAGTAGTAATAAAAACCACTAAAACCACTCACCTACATCCATATTTTATAGCGGTTTTAATGTACCATTTCAGAGATCTGCATCTCCGATAATAAAGTCGCTTACTTCTCCACATATAAAACCTCTCACAAACAGACTTATGACCGCAATTAAAATTCGCATAATTTGTTTTAAACCAACGAAAAAAAAAATCTCAAATTAATTCCCCTCATTTTTTCACACTTTCAACAACATTTGCATAAAATTGCTAAATGACTCAAGTCGATAAAATAATGAACATAATTTATTATTTTAATGAGAGTGTACCGCAGGGAACCACTCATGGTCCAATCCTTTTTTAACACAAAACGAATTGATTTTTAAACGAAACAATCGTTTGCACGAAAATAACGGTCTCGAGGCGATTGTTGACCTCTCTTACTAGAGGTCATGACGGTTTATTATCGCAAATTTTCACAATTTTTGTGTGAATGTGAATTTCGATTCACGACACAGGAAATTGCATCCGTTGAACCGGAAAATTCACAATGAGAAAGTGAAGTTGAAATAGTCGGTCATGCGTATGAATTGTTACATCACCAGGAAGGAAAATACTAAATTTCCCACATTTGGACACCCTTGACACAAAAATATTTTTCATTGCCAACGAATGAACCAAACCTCCAACTTCCTGTTTTATCAAAACACATTTGATTATTCTTATCGTTGCACAATGAAATAAAAAGGTAAAAGCGAGGAAATGTGTGATAAGAGAAATGTCAAATCTTATCAAAACTGAGATTAGTGACCTTGAAGGTATGTGATAAAGTTTAAAATATGGAGCAGTTTGTTTTTGACAAAAAAAAGTGAAAATTTGTTAAATCTGAAAAAAAGGGTGTACAAAAATTATTTAGAAATTAGACAGCCTTTGAAGGAGGTTTCTCATGACCAACGAAGGAACCAAATTATCTTAAAAAAATAAGATAATTAGTCACCACAGTCAATTATTAAAAAATCATTTATAAAAATTGATAAACGTTTTAAAAGATAAAAAATACTTTTATTTTTTGACAGATTGATAAAACCTTCATTATTAATTACTTAATTACTAACACGTCTTAATTAATTGTTATTGACGTGATTCCCACATGACATCATAATCACCGTAATTTGTTTATTCAATTACCAACCCAAAAAAATAAAAACAAGGGATATACAAAGTTGGCATGTTTAGCTTTTTTATTATTGTGATTAGAATAGAATTTTAACATGGACAACCTTTGGAAGTTTTTTTTCACGACCAACTAAGAAACTAAATTATCTTCATTACCGAAACCTACTAGATTTATTACGTCAATTATTAAAAAAAATTGATTAATTAGTTACGTCGTGATTCCCACCGTCATTTGTTTATTCAATTGCCAACCCAACCGATGAAAAATTACCAAAAATTAAAACAAATTAAAAAAAAAAGAGAAAAGGTATACAAATTCGAATCTCATTTTATCATTTTTCTCTTGTTATTTATAGAATTTTGACGGGACAACCATGAATTTTTGTTCACTACCAACTAAGAAACCAAATCAAAATCAAAAATATTAAAAAAAAAAGATTAATCAACTATCTCGTGACTTCCACCGTCATTTGTTTATTCAATTAGCAACACAACCGATGAAAAATTCCCCAAAAAAAAAAACGAATTTCCAAGAACAGAGAAAAGATGTACAAACTCAAAACTTCTTATCATTTATTTTTTGTTTCTAATAGAATTTTTACATGGACAACCCTTGAAGTTATTTTTCACAACCAACTAAGAAACCAAATCACTTTTTTTATAAAGACAAGGGTTGTACAAACTGAAATCTTCGAAATCATGGACAGCCCTTCCAGTGTTTTAACATCAATCATTTCGTGATTCCCACCACTTGTTTATTCAATTGTCAAAAAAACGTCAAAAAAAATAAAACAAATTTTCAAAAAAAGAGAGATAAAGGATATACAAACTCGAATCTTTTTATCATTTTTTTATTGTTTCTAAAAGAATTTTTACATGGACAACCCTTAAAGGTTTTTTTTCATGACCAACTAACAAACCAAACCAAACTCATTACCAAAACGTACTAGATTTATTATGTCAATTATTAAAAAAATATATCAATTAATTCGTGACTCCCACCGTCATTTGTTTATTTAATTAGCAACCCACCCAATAAAAATTTTTCAAAAAAATATAGTAAAGGTGTCCAAATTCGAATCATTTTATCATTATTATAAGATTTTGACTTGGACAGCCCTTCACAACTAAATGAGAAACAAAACCTACTAGATTTATTAGGTCAATTATAAAAACAAATGGTGTGTTCAATTACCAACCCAAGTCATAAAAAATTCCCAAAAAAACAAGGGTTGTTTGTACAAACTGAAATCTTTGTACTCATGGACAGCCCTTGCAGTGTTTTAACGTCAATCATTTCAAATTTTCAAAAAAAAAGATATAAGGGATGTACAAAATCGAATTTGTTATCTTTTTTTTGTTGTTTTTAATAGAATTTCTACATGGACAATCCTTGAAGGTTTTTTCATGACCAACTAAGAAACCAAATCAAACTCCGATGAAAAATTACCAACAATAAAAACAAATTTTGCAAAAAAATTGTAAGGATGTACAAATTTTTCGGTTGTTACTTATAAAATTTTGACATGGACAGCCCTTGAATAAGTGTTTTCACGACCAACTGAGTAACAAAAATTCAATTAATAAAAAAAATGGTTGATTAATTATTTCGTGATTTCCACCGTCATGTTTATTACCCACCCAACCAATAAAAAATTCCCAAAAAAACAAGGGTTGTACAAACTGAAATCTTTGTAATCATGGACAAAAAAA